CAAGCAATTTATATATTTAATGGCATTCCAACTAAAAACAAACATGACGTAAAATACAATTTCATCTTTCAATCATCGAAACATATATTCACGAAAAGATTCTTGACCAATATTTTTTTTTCTACGGAATGTGAATGTGTCGTTGCCCCTATTTGCACTTGTAAGATAGTCTCGAAAAGTCCAAAAGCCCAATACGATTCTATACAATGTCTGTAGCAATTTCCCAAATAACATCTTTGATATTTAATTCGGGAAACTTGCTCAATTTTTCAATTTGTCCAATATATCCGGTGTGTTTACCTTTTTGTAAATCTTCTTAAGGACAAAATACCGCGTACATAAGACAAATTTAAGCGCGAGATTCGCTTTATACTTTAATAGACTCGCTTGTACAAGTCTAGTATGACGACAGGTAAAGAAAAAAAAAAGGAAAAAGATAGAGAGAGAGAGAGAGAGAGAGAGAGAGAGAGAGAGAGAGAGAGAGAGAAGACGAATGAATATATATATATATATATATATATATATATAGATGGGTTGCACGGCAATTCTACGTCTAGATAGCTCGCTTAAACTCGGCTGCTAGCTTGCTGTAACCCAACCTAATCCAAGCGGCGAGAAGAAATAGGCGCACGTTCTTTCTCACTCACCTACCTAGCTAGGTAGCTAGCTAGATACCTACCTACCTACCTACCTACCTACCTACCTACCTACCTACCTACCTACCTACCTACCTACCTACCTACCTACCTACCTACCTACCTACCTACCTACCTACCTACCTACCTACCTACCTATCTACCTATCTACCTACCTACCTGGTGGCGCAGCGTTGTAGACAAAAGGAAGGCAGAACATAGCAGAATACAGTAAAGCAGCAGAGCAGTGCAGCGTAGAGCAAAGTAGAGAACGGAGCAGAGCAGGATAAAAGGAGGGCCCACACTAAGGAGACCTTGAAGGCTGTTGGCCGGGTACCGGGGATCTAGTGCTGACCTACTATAAAGGCACTTGCTGTCCTGCTCGTCCGTCAAGACGACACACTAGCACCCTCTCCTTCGGGAGAAAATGCCTGCTAACCCACTACTCTCTTGCTCGCGCTCTCTTCGTTCTTCCACGCATATACATACACCGGCTCGGCTCGGCTCGGCTCGGCTCGACTCGACTTCGAAACCCGCTTCCAGACCCGCCTTGGACCACGCGCGCGCTTAGAGCTCTCCGAAACGAGGGCCCTACGTTCGCCGTCTCACTCCTTTCTATCTTTCCTCTTTGCCTCTTTCTTCACTCGTCTTCTCCACGGTAGTAGTATCCCCCGTGCTCGCTCTCTGCCTTCACGATCTCGTTTTCACTCCCTCTTTTCAGTCCTCTCCGCTCTCCTCTGGCTCTGCTTCATCCCTACACATGACCCTTTTCTGCCCTTCTCCGAAGACCCCTTCTCCCTCCTCGTCACATCGTCACTACTATGTGTAATTCGCCCCTTCTACGTAGTGTTTCTTCTTTGCTCTCAGTCCCTCTCTCTCTTTCTCTCCTCCCCCCCCTCTCTCTCTCTCTCACTTTCTCTTTGACCAATGTTCTTTCTTCATCTTTCTTCCCTCTCTCCCTCCCTTCCCCCTTCTCTCTCTCTCTCTGTCTCCCTCTCTCTCTCTCTCTCTCTCTCTCTCTCTCTCTCTCTCTCTCTCTCTCTCTCTCTCTCTCTCTCTCTTCCTCTTTCTCTCCTTCTCCCTATCTCTTTCTCTTTCTTTCTCTGTCTCTCTCGTTCTTTCTTTTCCTCTCTACTCCTTCTCCTTTGCCGTCACTCTCTTTCATTTACTCGCTCACACGAGCGCGTGAACGAGAAAACGAGAGAGAAGGTATACGTGTGCGTGTTTTGGAGGGAGTAATACCCATCTAGCATAGCAACTGCTGTTTCTGCATTTCTTCGCAGCGCGCCCCGAGCGAGATACCGGTATATTTTAGGTGTATAACGGGTGTCCTATCGCCGAAGGGAAGCACTGAAGCTTTCCCGGAAGTTTACGTTTATTCGTTTTTTCGCAGTTGCGACGGTTCCCATGATCGTTGGAAAACCTCCGATATTAATGCAAACTTTCGCATTTCGACGACTTTCCATGCTTTATATTTAACCACGTATTTTTATTGTATCCTAAGGACGCTTAACATTTCCACTGGGGTGACGACATTTCATTTAACGTTAAATATTCGTATCAAAGATTGTTCATCTGATATCGAAAAGCAATAATATCTTACATATTCTCGACTTTAAATTTTCACGCGGTCTCCCCCCTCTCTCCCCTCTCTCTCTCTCCCTCTCCTTCTTTCTCCCTCTTTTTCCCTCTCCCTCTCTCCTTTCCTCCCTCTCCCTCTCCCTCCCCCCCTCTCTCTCTCTCTCTCTCTCTGTCTCCGTCTCTATTTCTTTCCCATATTGCTCGATATTGTTGTTACATCATCACTGTTACGACACTATTATCGCTCTTTTTATTGTTGTCGTTGTGTTGTTACGTGCGCGCTCCGTCAAACCCAAACACTTCTCAAGCCCACTTTAGCGAATACGACAGCGCAGTTAACCCCGCCGGTGCAATCTCGTTCCATCTTTACGGCACGTGAAATCGGGTGTAAAATGCGCGGCGTATTTAACGCGGCATAAGAATCGAATTAAAGCCTCGTCAGGACGTAACCGCGGCTCTCGCCCGTTCTCCCTCTTTCTTGGTTCCCCGTCATCGTGTGTATCTCTGTGTCTCTTGTTCTCTTTTACACCGCCGAATTGGCTTTCGCATGAAACCTGTTGGCTACGCGGCTGAGCACACTGTGTGTGTGTGTGTGTGTGTGTGCGCGTGTGTGTGTAGATACACTTACGAATATTATTATTGCGCGGGGCAGCTCGCGCGAGGGGAGACCTGACACGAGACATACTAAGTAGCCATTTAGATGCTACTCTTTTCCTCCCGTTCGTCTATCTCTCTCGTTATATTTCTCCTCTTCTTTCTCTCATTGTCGGGCAAAAGGGAAGGAGACACGCGAATGCGCCATTTCTCTGCTATCTTATTCCTCCACTTCGTTTCATATTCGTACTTTTAATTCATTCACATTTCCAAGCTGCCTCGCGCAAGTCGCCAGCCACAGCCGTATGGATACTCTTTACTGTACTCGAGCGTAGCGTTCTAATAAACTGTGCGTTTTAATAAACGCGCGAACGGGTTCGCCGCTCAACGCCCACGCCGTGTGATCTTGCTCCTAACTGACTGAGAATTCGTTTGGCGGAAAAGAGGCGTTTCAGGAGGCGCCTGTTTTCACTTGCACAAGCGCCAAGTTATCAGTACGATCGAAAGCTTATCGGAGCGCGGAATATTGCGCACAATAAGTTACACTTGCGATTATACATATATATATATATATATATGTGTGTGTGTGTGTGTGTGTGTGTGTGTGTATATATATATATATACATATATATGTTATAATATTTGCAAGTTTAATTGTAATAATATCAGATTGCTTGCTGTGTATTAACTAAGTGATTAAATCATCTGTCACTTATCAATTACCACTTATTCGCGTTCACGAGCGAATTTTATCCGAAAGAATACAGCAGATAGGATATGGTACTCTTGTAAAGTGAAAAATAATACAACGGCAATATGCTGAGAGCAAAGGAAACGAAGCGCGATTGAACGACAGTTCAATCCCCCGCCCCTCCCCCAAGCCCCAACTTGAGCGCTCGCGCTCAATTAAAATTTAAACGAGCACATACATACACACGTACGGACGCAAGTCCGCCAGCGCCGCGGCCGTGGCACTCGAGCGCCTCGAGCTCGAGCTCGAGCTCGAGCTCGAACGGGCTCGCTTAACGAGCGCGCTGCTCGTCAAACGGCCGCTCGTTTCTCGTCGCGGTAGGAATGAATCGCGGATCTATTCTTCTCGCGCGGCGGGCGAGGCGAGCATCGGTTATGGTAGATTAGACAGCCCGACCGGTAAGAACGCGCCAGGTACACCTGGTTACCAGGTAACCAGGCGCGTAGGAAACTCGCGCGAGGAAAGGAAATACACACGTGTACTACTCCTTCGTCCAAGCTCGTAATACTCCTTCAATCTACCTCTTCTTCCCGCCCCTTCTCCTACTTAGCCGCCAACTCCGAAATCCGTCCGGCACAGTTCACATAACCTCTTGATCCTGATTAGAATATGAGTGAGGTGTAACTGCGATAGCTTCTCGGGGGTCGGGCTAGTTAGTGCCGGCGCCGCCGGTCGCGATTCTCGCGCCGTTACCCGCACACGTGCACGCGCACCGGAAAGCGCAATCCGGAAGCGGCAACGCGGAACCGGTGCGGCCCGGTCCGGTCCGGTCGCCCGGCGCTTTTCCATGGGAAAAGTCTCCCGTTTCGTCCCCGGGATCGGAGGTCAGAGCGACCGCGACCGCGTCAAACAAGTTGTACGCTGTGACCCGGTGATCCAATTCCTCCGTTCATTCTGAATACGCCTGAGAAAGTATCGACCTAACCAAGATCAGCCTGACCTCGTCGAGCTCGTCGTTGCTCCTAACGGTTTTCTGACGAATAAACGTGCGCTCTCAGACTTATTTATCTTCAGGCTTAATCGCGTTAACTTTTTTCACGACAGCCACGCGAATCGCGAGAAGCGAAAAGCAGTTGGCAATTATTTTCACTTGGAGTCTTTGCTCTGTATTTATGCGCGTGCGAGAAACGTCAAGCGTGAAGCGTGAGGGACGCGCCACACAGTGTCGAGACGATCATTCCGTTAAATAACTCCGTAATTACTTGCGCCACTGCGACAATGGGGCAACCGTTACTTTTCTCGGCTTCTAGTGTCTGAATAGAAGCCGAAAGGTCACCCCGCACCGTACCGTAACGAGTGTCCAAGCGAGGTCTGGTCCGCGAGATTGGTAATCGTTCTATTTACCGGCTACCGGCGCCGCGCGCGCGCGCGCGCATCCATGAATTTTGCTCGCCTCTTTAGAGACACACCTGAAAACCTGCCCTTCGTTTTCGTTGCAGGATACACTTACCTCGGATCTTCGCTCGTGGTGGAGCCGTCTGTGGCAAGCGGAGCCAAGAAACGGTGAGTCTCTGAAACTTTGCTCCGTTCTGAGTTCTGTGTTCTGACGAGAGCGTGGCCTTCCTCGCGTGCTTCGATACGGCTCTTGCACGTGACAGAAGAAAGTCAAGCGACGAAAATTCATCCATCTTCGTGACATTTTCACCAAGTGCTTCGCGTGGATTCTCTTCGAAGAGGAAACCATATTCTCTCTGCTTATCATTCAGCAAGCTTGACTTGTTTCTCATGCAAGAGTCGTCGACACGCACACTCCGAGTCTCGATCCAAGTTCTTTTATTATATTTCTTGTCTTTACATCACATCACGTCATTCAACATTCAACATTTTTAAACGGACCAACTTATAATTTACTTATAATACGCTTAAACATACGCGTTAAATGAGACGTGTTAAATGAGTAAGAAACATGCAAGAAAAGTCTAATGTGTCAGTCGCGTCATCACCACGCGTTGACGCGTGCTCACAAGACGCGTGCGCACCTGGGCTTGGTTTGCAGTGCACAGCAGACACAATAGCGTGTGCTGTCCGGCAGGAAGGAACAGACGAATTTGATCAGTGCGTCGAACTCTCGCGTTTACACAAAACGCTAGTCCTACGCTAGCTAACGCGCTCCCGATTAACGCAATCGCGCTCACGATTAAATACATACACACACACACACACACACACACACACTCGCAATCAACGCGTTCGCATTGAAACGATGGTCACACATCACACCCGTGCACGCGCATGCGCGCATAGAGACAGGTGTTGGTATCCGCTTTCATTTTCCTCTTTCGCGTTACGCAGATTGAGATTGTCTCTGTCGCTAGATAGATATAATCGCGCCTGAAGTTGATTTGTCGAGGTAGTCGAGGCGCATTTTGTCGCGCGACTGACGATCCTGACCGGTCGCGTGAGAGGTCGCGTGCGACAGTGAAAGATTCCGATTGCGCGATTGCGTGCGATTGCGCCCGCGGCTCATTATGCGGCCGTTTAGAAGCGCGTAAATGAATATAAAGCCGCTGCGCGGTTATGCGCGGTCTCGCTGCTTAACTGATCGGCATAAATTGGCGCAGCGTGCCAGGAAGCGCGTCTCGTCGTCGCGGTTTCTTATTTATAAAGAACCGCGCGATCGTGCGTGCACGCGCGCGTGCGCGCGAGAAATTATTCGGCCGTTACACGTCCGGGCTGGTTACCGGGTGTCCTCGCTGATACACGCGTGTGCCGTTCGCCGACTATCGTCGTCGTCGTCGTCGTCGTCGTCGTCGCCCGTTCCTCATAGGCACAGACGTTGCTGCTGCTTATGATCCTTCTCTCTTTCGCTGTTGTGCGTCCTCTCGTTCATCGCGGACGAACGAGCGAGCGAGCGAGCGAGCGAGCGAGCGAGCGCGCGAGCACGCGGGACTTCAAAAGGAGTTCGTTAACCCGTCGGGGCCCCGTCGCCGCGTCGTAGCACACGGACGCGATCGCACGGAGGAGATCGGGCCGCGCGCGTAATACCGCGCGTAACAAGGTGCGTAATTGGCCGCACGCGAGTAAATGCGCGCGTGCGCGCATGCAGAAGAGCTTGGACTCGTGCCCGGGCAAAAATCGCCCAGGATTAAATCGCCGACTCAGTGGAACTCATTCCCGCCCGCGTTCACAAGTTCACGCCGGATAACGCTCAGTGAGCATTCGACCTCGTGACGTTAACTTCGTTGCTTATGTATTAGCTCCCGAGAATCCTACCTTTAAGATACATTTCCAGATATGTATTTTTATTAAAATGTTAAAATATTCGTATAGTATTAAAATATTCGTTTTCTCTCTCTCTCTCTCTCTCTCTCTCTCTCGAGAGAGAGAGAGAGAGAGAGAGAGAGAAAGGTCCCCTCTTCTTCAAAGTGGAGCTTCTCTGTTTATCACGCATAGATTCGTGGGAATTACAAATTCCGTCTTGACACGAAAGAGAAGAAAACGTGTTGGACCCAATGTGTTGGACCCAGAGAAATTTGCCGAGAAATGGAAAATAAGTTAATATTTATTTTAATATTGCAATTGTGCCGTAATGGGAATTTTATTATCTTAAATCGTAAATAGCATATTTGTGTCATTATGCATGAAAAATGTTTAAAGCCCTACTTATCATCCTCTCTCTCTCTCTCTCTCTCACACACACACACACACACACACACACACACACACACACACACACACACACACACACACATGTACTACACGGATCGCGATGGTACGTATCTTCGTTGTAAATAGCAATGCACGACTGCACAATGCATAATGATATGCATTGTCGATAATGAAGCCATCTGGCTTTCATCTGGTTAATATAAATGTTGCAAAATAGTTTTCGCAGAACCTTTAAAATCATAAATAAATAAATCCCGAATTCTTGTAAAAGCGGCAACACAATTGTCATCCCTCCTCGCGGCTGCCCATTACGCTTGTTTTGACCGTGTCATAATGACAGTAATCAAACATAAACCCTCACGTCGAGTATACGTCGTAGATATGTAACGCAACCTGCAATCATCGCCGATGCATAAATGTAATCACGTAGTGAAATTCGAGTAATAATTGGTTTATTAAACCTTTTCTTCCTTACGTCTCGTCATCTCGCGACTTACGATAATCGCGATAGAAAATTTACACCTATCTCTTGTCCTGACAAATATACGTATTTAGAAGCAATCCTCAGGTTGAATCACCCGAAACCTGAATCGCACCATGTTTATTGCGTATCGCAAATTCCTCTGCCAAATCTTTGAGAGCCGCTCACCGAAAACTGACTTGTTTTTCTCTAAATAAGTAAAGACTCGGCATCGGAATAGTTACATATATAATTCAAATATTCTCGCGTGTCAACGTTTCTGCACGTCAATGTTTGGGAGCCTCTGCGCGACACAGAGGCAGCCTCTTTCCCGACAGTGAGGCAGGCAATTCGAAAAAAAATGTGGCACCTGCCTTGTGCTCGCGAGCTTCGAGCCGAGAGAGCAAGCCCAGGCCTGCTCTCGCTCGCTCGCTCGCTCGCTCGCTCGCTCGCTCGTGCTATAGCTGCAATCTGTTATTTCACCATCCCGCGGACTCGCGCGCTTACTTTCCGTTTCTCTCTCATCCCTTACGCGCCACCGGTCACCTCCTCGTTCTCGTTCTGCCCGTGCTCCTCGTCTTATCGAGAACGTGCCTCGGAAACGTGCTGTCGCATAAGCCGAATAATATTTGTCAGTCGTCCGAACCGAGATATGCTCGGCTGAAGATAACGGCCAGAAAATTATTAGGGAAGAACGCATGATACATTATCTTGTCGATTATGGCCGATAACGACAAGAGTACACACGCGGATACAATTTCTCTGTGACGCGTTTATTATTAAGTTGCGCATATTGTCGAGAGCTTCCGGCGGTCCTCGCAAATTATCCGATTCCACCTCCGCGGTGACTCCCCCTTTCTTCTTTTTGATATATCTGCCAAGGTACACAAGGTAAGAAATGATGTGCTAAATTCAACATATCATTTCATATGTCTCAAATCATCCACTCTCATTTATGTGTTAATTTAACATAGACATGTAAATATGTTAAAAAGTAGCACGCATAATATGTAAGAAATTTAACATTTGAATGCCGTCAAGAATCACAGTTTGTGTTAAATTGACATACGATGAACTTCAACTGAATTTGGGAAAAGTAATGATCTGTGATTTGATGAAATGAAAATATTAGATTGACATAATCCATGTGTTAAAAGTCCGATCTTTATATAATACATAACACATGATAACTACTGTAATGAGGAAATTAACACATTTTAGGTGTTGACTTTAACAAAACATATGTCAGAGCAAGGATTCATGCATTTACATACAAAATTGTGTGTTATTCTAACATTTGAAAATGTTATTTTAACACTTGAAACTAGTTAATCTTAATTTAACACAAGAAAGTCTAAGTAACACAACAACAACGATCTGTTGTTAAATTAACACACAACCGTGTAAAAAATTTAACACAAAACTCTCTACACACATAAAAAATTTTGACAATAGTACGAAACGTTTTTAACTGTGTAAGTTTGTGTATGTTTGTACACACGTGGCCTTGGAATTGTCTTACGGCAATATTAAGAAAAATGTGAAAATGTGTCTTGGCCTCTTGGTTTGATCCCAAAAATATTGCATATATCCTGAAAGTGTGCTTTCAACGTCGCATCTTTACGGTCGGAGAAGAATAGTGGAAGGAAGTTAAAGAACCTCGCGCATAAACCTCGCGAATGATGGCGCAATTATGCATGCGTGAAATAATCGTGGCATTTACCGGGCTTTATCCGGGATGAATGGGCTTTTCATTCGCAGAATCTCGATTTCAATTGAAAAGTCGCGACGAAGATGCGATTGTTTCTTTCGAAAGGATACAAACGCGACGTGTTTCTTTCACCCTATTTCTTAACGATCAGTGATAAAACGCGCGCTAGTGCGAATAAAACGCCCATGCCAGCTTAGCGCGTTAGCCCTAACATTTCAATATGAAAAGCGCAGATAACACCACGACGTATTCGCACGATCGCTCGCGATCGTTATTGTTAAGCGCGCTGTAGGAGATCGTTATTCAAGAATAGACAAGCGGACGCTTAGCCAGAGAGAGAGAGAGAGAGAGAGAGAGAGAGAGAGAGGGGTGGGGGGTGAGAAGAGTGTGTGGAAGTTTATTATGCACTCTATAGAAAGGGACGGAGATATAGGGAAACGGGTATATCACTTCCGAGTTGTCTTCTGCAATGTGTCCCGGTAGAAGATGTAACGCGCGACGGCTTCCAGCGGCGAGAGAGCGACAAGCTCTCTGCCGCCGTTTCTTGATGTTTAGGAACCGATGCATGGCTAAACATTCATTTCCATATAAGCCGATATGTTTCAAATGTAAAGCGGCGTCCGTGCACACCGGCGGCGAGAGTGGAGAAAGAAAGGACGAGAGGTGGGTAAACGAGGTGTGCGGTGGGAGGGAAGAAGTGAGAGGAAGGGACGGGAGGGACGGGAGG